CTATTTCACTTCTCTTTTGTGGTGGGAATTTTTAAATTGGATATAGCTATTGGATGCTTAAAGGTACAATGGTTAGTCCTATTCACCCTCTCTGGGTCTTCAAATCAGGTGGGCTTTGTGGAATGCTGCATAATAGCCCGGATTTTGTAATAGTAACAATGGTGAAATTGTCAGTTCTAGTGTCATTATTCATCCAAAACTGACAGTGCTTACTGGAGTCCACGTTTGTACAGTTAAATAAGGAAATCCCTTGTTATTGTCAGTGATTCTGTGCTTCTCCAATGGGTAGGTTTTAGAAGTCCACTCCACAATGCAGTTAGAAAAGTTTTGGAGCTGCTGATAACATGTATTGTTACATTTTTAATCATTGTTTAAAAAACCTTAAAAGGTGGAAACTTGATTGAGATCTAACTAGGTTAAGTGAAGTACTAAATTTCTAATTACTCCAGGGGAGGCGATGGCCTAGTGGTATTATCGCTAGACTATTAATCCACAAACCCAGCTGATGTTCTGGGGACCCCGGTTCGAATTCCACCATGGCAAATGGTGGAATTTGAATTCAATAATTAAGAATCTACTGCTCACCATGAAATGGTTGTCGGAAAATCCCATTGGTTCACTAATGCCCTTCAGCGAAGGGAATCTACCACCCTCCCCTGGTCTGGGCTACACGTGACTCCAGACCCACAGCAATGTGGTTGACTCTCAACTGCCCTCTGAAATGGCCTAGCAAGCGACTCAGTTGTACCAATTACCACAAAGTCTCCGATAAAACTTGACAGATCACCTGGCATTGACCTAGGCACCGAAAAAGACAATGGTAGAAACAGCCCTGTTGACCCTGCAAAGTCCTTCTCACTAACATCTGGGAGTTACTGCCAAAAATTGGGGGAGCATCTCACAGACTAGTCAAGCAATAGTCTGACAGTCATATTCAGAGAATCATACCTTACAGATAATGTCCCAGACACCACCATCCCCGGATATGTCCTATCCCACTGGCAGGGCAGACCCAGCAGAGGTGATGGCAGAGGGATATAAGGAGTCCTCAACATTGACTCCGGACCCCATGAAGTCTCATGGCTTCAGGTTAAACATGGGCAAGGAAACCTCCTGCTGATTAGCACATACTGTCCTCCTTCAGCTGATGAATCAGTACTCCTCAGCGCTGGAATGGTAAGGGCACAAAATGTACTCTGGGTGGGGGATTTCAATGTGCACCACCGAGAGTGGCTCGGCAGCGTACTACTGATCCAGCTGCTCGGGTCCTAAAGGATATAGCTGCTAGATTGGGTCTGTGCCAGGTGGTGAGGGAACCAACAAGAGGGAAAAAACATACTTGACTTCATGCTTACCAATCTGCCAGCTGCAGAAGCATCTGTCCATGACAGTATTGGCAACAGTGATCATTGCACAGTCCTTGTGGAGGAGAAGTCCCGCCTTCACATTGAGAACAACCTCCATTGTGTTGTGTGGCACTATCACTGTGCTAAATGGGATAGACTTTGCACAGATCTTGCAAATCAAGACTGAGCATCCACGAGGCGCTGTGAGCCATCAACAGCAGAATTGCACTCCAGCACAATCTGTAGCGTCATGGCCCGACATATCCCCCACCTCAACCATTACCATCAAGCCAGGGGATCAACCTGGTTTCAATGGAAGGTGCAGGAGGGCATGCCAGGAGCAGCACCAGGCATACCTGAAGATGAGGTATCAACCTGGTGAAGCCACCAAACAGGACTACTTGGCACACCAAACAGCATAAGCAGCAAGTGATCCCACAACTAATGGATCAGATCTAAACTCTGCAGTCCTGCCACATCAAGTCCTGAATGGTGGTGGACAATTAAACAACTCACTGGAGGAGGCAGCTCCACAAATATCCCCATCCTCAATGATGGAAGAGCCCAGCACATTAGCGCAAAAGATAAGGCTAAGCATTCACAGCAATCTTCAGCCAGAATGGATGATCCATCTCGGCCTCCTCCAGTGGTCCCCAGCATTACAGATACCAGTCTTCAACCAATTCGATTCACTCCACATGATATCAAGAAACGGTTAGAGACACTGGATACTGCAAAGGCTACAGGCCCTGACAACATTATGGCAATAGTACTGAAGACCTATGCCCCAGAACTTGTCGCTCCTGTAGCCAAGCTGTTCCAGTACAGTTACAACTCTGGTATCCACCCGACAACGTGAAAAATTGCCCAAGTATATCCTGTACACAAAAAGCAGGACAAATCCAACGCAGCCAATTACCACCCCAGTCTACTCTCCTATCATCAGTAAAGTGATGGAAGGTGTCATCAACAGCGTATCAAGCAGCACCTGCTCTGCGACGCCCGGTTTGGGTTCCGACAGGGCCACTCAGTGCCCTGATCTCATTACAGCCTTGGTTCAAGCATGGACAAAATAGCTGAATTCCAGAGGTGAGGTGAGAGCGACAGCCCTTGATATCAAGGCTGCATTTGGCTGTGTGGCATCAAGGAGCCCTAGCAAACGTGGAATCAATGGGTATCAGGGGGCAAACTCTCTGGTTGTTGGATTCATACCTGACACATAGGAAGATGGTCGTGGTTGTTGGTGGTTAATCATCTCAGCTCCAGAACATCTCTGCGAGAGTTCCTTAGGCTAGTGTCCTAGGCCCACATCTTCAGCTGTTTCATCAATGGCCTTCCCTCCATCATAAGGTCAGAAGTGGGGACGTTCACCAATGATTGCACAAGTGTTCAGCACCATTGGTGACTCCTCAGATACTAAAGCAGTCCATGTTCACATGCAACAAGATTTGGACAATATCCAGGCTTGGGCTGACAAGTGGCAAGTGACATTCATGCCACACAAATGCCAGGAAATGACCATCACCAATAAGAGACAATCTAACCACAGTCCCTTGACAATCAATGGTGTTACCATTACTGAATCCCCACTATCAACATCCTGGGGGTTACCATTGACCAGAAACTCAACTTGACTCACCACATTAACACAGTGGCTACAAGAGCAGGCCAGAAGCTACGGGTATTGTGGCGAGTAACTCATTTCCTGGCTCCCCAAAGCCTGTGCGACATCCACAAGGCACAAATCAGGAGTGTGATGGAATACTCCCCACTTGCCTAGATGAGTACAGCCCCAACAACACTCGAGAAGCTTGACACCATCCAGGATAAAGCAGCCCGCTTGATTGACACTACGTCCACAAGCATTCACTCCCTGCACCATCGATGCTCAGTAGCAGCAGTGTGGACTATCTACAAGATGCACTGCAGAAATTCACCAAAGATCCTCAGACAGCACCTTCCAAACCCACAACCACTTCCATCTAGAAGGGAAAGGGCATCAGACATACGGGAACATCACCACCTTCAAGTTCCCCTCCAAGTCACTCACCATCCTGACTTGGAAATATAATCGCCATTCCTTCACTATCGCTGGGTCAAATTCCTGGAATTCCCTCCCTTCTAGCATTGTGGGTCAACCCACAGCAGGAGGACTGCAGCAGTTCAAGAAGGCAGCTCACCACCACCTTCAAGGGCAACTAGGGATGGGCAAGAAATGCTGGCCAGCTAGCATCATCCACATCTCACAAATGAATAGAGATAAATGGTCTTTGAGCCAGAAACTACAAGTTACATTTGAGTGATTAAATACTCCACGATTCCATTTTTTAAAATTTATAAATGTTTATGACATTGTACTTGCTGCCTTAATCCCATGTGTGTCCCAATCATTTAATCAAGTTTTACAGAAACCAGAAGTGATATGGTTCAGTGGTTTAGTGATATGGTTAAAGATATCACTTTAATGTTTGATGGCCTTCTGCGTGGAGAACCAGGCCTCTAGGAATTCCCATGCTAATCAACTAGAAGCAAAAAGACATGACTAATACTCACTCAGCTCCATCCACATGGATAAGGAGAACCACCAGTTTTATTGCGACAACACCAGGATCGTGGGACAGGCCAAGCAGACAAGCACGGGAATTCCTAGGCAGCATGGTCACTCAGTGGTTAGCACTGCTGTCTCACAGCACCAGGGACCCAGGTTCGATTCCACCCTCGGGCAACTGTCTGTGTGGAGTTTGCACGTTCTCCCCGTGTCTGTGTGGGTTTCCTCCAGGTGCTCTGGTTTCCTCCCACAGTCCAAAGATGTGCAGCCTAGATGGATTGGCCATGCTAAATTGCCAGTCATGTTCAGGGATGTGTAGATGAGATGGGTTACAGGGGGATGGGTCAGTGTGGACTTGTTGGGCCAAAGGGCCTGTTTCCACATTGTAGGGATTCTATGATTCTACCTGCAATGTTGACATGTGGGAATCATGTTAGTAACAATGTGATGCTTTTTCTTACAATTGGTCAAACTAGTGCTTAAAAAATATAATGTTTCACTACTACTTGTTTGTCATACAGAATTTTTCTTCTACATATAGGTTCATGTTAAAAATCTATATTAAACAAGTGTGTTTTATAACATTCAAAACACAAGACTGCTTAAAAGATAATATAAAATTTCAGAACTACCACAACACAGACAGAGAGAGATAAATTATACTTACTTCTTAATTGCAAGCATAAAGTATAGACTTCGTGGCATCACAAGTAGTACTTGATCCCGTAAAATGGCATCCGTAATTTTTTTGGCAGCATAATTCTGATCCAAAGTAGGAAGGAGGTGTGGCCACCTGTACAGAAATTAAGTATAAATTGAGGTAAAAGCCTTAGTTTGATTGCTTGCAATGCATCCATTAAAATAAATTACGTGGGTATTGAAGAGTAAGAAACGTGGTCAGCCTCTTTAAAAAAGGTCTTGTTAACACAAATTTTCTCCAACATTGTTCTTCAGGTCCTCCCAACTAACAGCTACATTTAAAAAAAAATTCATAATAGCTATCGTCTGCTGTCTGCAATATCTGTAATAAAAATCGGTGATACTACCAGATCATAAAGTCTCATTCAGTACAATGAAGGTTTCTCAACACTTTCATTGGACTTGTGTCAGCCACGGCTTAGTTGGTAACACATTCACCTCTGAAACACAAGGTTCTGGCTTCGAGTACTAATCCAGGACTTGAAACCAAGAAAATAGAATGAGGCTGACCCCCAAGTACAGTATTTAACATGCCCTGGATTGACAGTCTTTTAATTAAATGCTAAATTTAAGTCCCATCTGCCTGTGCAGATGGATCTGACAAAAAAAAACCTATTTTGAAGAGGAGCAGGGAAGTTACCTCAAACAACATTTTAAAAATGTTTCTGGTAGTAAGCACATTACTTTTTATGGGAGTTTGCTCAGTGCCTACATTCCAGCAATGACTACACTTTAATATATTTAAAAAAAGCCCACAAGAGGGAGCTGGACTGATTTTTGACTGAGATTTACAATGGAATCATAGAATCCTTACGGAACATAAAGAGGGAATTTGACCCATTGATTCTGCGCTGACCCTCCAAATAGCATCCCACTCAATCCCCCTAACCCCACATTTACCATTGCTAATCCACCTAGCCTTCACATCCCCAGGCACTACAAAGCAATTTAACATGGCCAATCCATTCAGCCTGCTCATCTTTGGCCTGTGAGAGGCAATTGGAACACCCGGTGGAAACCCATGCAAACAGTCACCTAAGATTGGAATCGAACCCAATCGATTCCTGGCACTGTGAGCCACTGTAGGGGAACCAAAGAGGCAAGTGGATTTACGGTAAACAAATGCACTGTCAATATGATGTTCTGGACTGTTTCGAATACCAAGTCAAAGAGAATTTTCCAAATCTTTTTCCATCATTGGTCTAGTTTTTGTTTACTTTGGTGTCTCTCGTGTAGGCAGGAGGGATTCGGGGTGGGGGAGCAGTCATAATGCATCAGGAGTGTGAGAAATAGGTATGTTGGATCATTTGATTTTTTTTCTGTCTGTAATTTTCATTTGACAACTATGTATTTCCATTTTTAAAGTTTCAATTGCAAATAAGAATGAACAAATTAGAATGCATTTTGTTGACTGCCTTCACAATCTTGAAAACCTCAAGTCCACTCTTCTTCTGCCTTTCTCAAGGACAATAAATCATTCTAGCACCCTAAAATCCATTCATAAACACAGCTAATGTTCTTGGTATTCCCTCAAAAGGCCAAAAGCTCTTCTAGCTCTACATAACTCTGGACACACTACTCCAATTTTGACCTTGTGTGCATTGATTTTCTTCACTCCTCTACTGATAACTCTGCATTTAATTGCTGAGGGCACACATTCTAGAACTCCCTCCCTAAAGCTCCACGCGTAATTTCTCTCAAAATTTCTTCCTTAAAAGCTACCTGTGGCCAAACATTTGGTTGCCTGTCCTAATGTCTCCTTACGTATTTCAGTGACATTTTGTCTGCTAACACTCATCCGAAGTACCTATGGATGTTTCAAAGAGTTGAAAGGTGAATTGCTACGTTCCCAATTTGAAATAATAGCTTTTAAATAACCTATTTTTGCATTACATTTTTGAATGAATAAATGTGCATATAAACCATAACAAATTTAGTGAATTAACATGTATACATATTTAGTTTTACAGCCATCAAACATTCCCGTGTTTATGAAGTACGGGCAAACGATAGTAGTCTTTATACCGTTTTTCCCGGATGCTAGTAATTCTAGTGCAACAGACTCCGCAAAACCAATTGCTGCAAACTTACTTGAACAATAATCTGTAAAAGATGAACAACATCCATTCACCAAAAGTGTGGGAGTTGGTTTGACAGAAGTCAACTGTATTAGAACAATAGGACAATTTAATGAAATTTACTGTAAATGGCTTAGCATTTAGTGTCAGTAACTGAACTGATTGAGCATAAAGTGCACACAAATACCCCTTTAAATGCAAAATACTCCATGCATCTTCTAAAGAAAAAAAACTTACTTGCTGCCCTTTGTTCCTTCAGGTTTAACATTTCAGATAAAGAGGGTGACAGTTATAGTAACCAACTTTGCTTGGAAGTCCATGCATACCACATGAATAAAATTAGCCTCATCAGGCTTTTCTGTTAGCTCACCAAAACAAAAATCAAAAGATATCTAAAGGGAGATGGTGGCCTGGCAGTACTGTTACTACATTAGTAACCCAGACACCTGGGTTAAGACCCAGTGACAAGGACTCAATTCTCATTATGGTGGCAAGTGGAATTTAAATTCAGTTAACAAATCTGGAGCAAAGAGCTAGCCAAACCATTGTTCATTGTCAGGTACACCGATATCCTTTAAAAGGGAAGAAGTTGGCTCACTAATACCCTTTAAAGAAAGAAGCTGTGACTCCAGACTCTGAGCAATGATTTTGACTGTCTACATGTACCCTAGGACTTTGTGCAAAGATAGGGAAGTGATTGCAAGGCCCCTTGCTGAGATATTTGTATCATCAATAGCCATGGGTGAGGTGGCAGAAGGCAGGAGATTGGGTGACATGATGCCATTGTTTAAGAAAGATGGTAAGCAAAAGCCAGGGAACTGTAGACCAGTGAGCCTTTCATTGGTGCTGGGCAAGTTGTTGGAGAGGATTCCGAAGGACAGGATTTACATGTATTTGCAAAGGAAAGGACTGATTAGGGATAGTCAACATGGCTTTGTGTGTGGGAAATAGTGTCTCACGAACATGATTGAGTTTTTCTGAAGAAGTGACAAAGAGGATTGATGAAGGAAGAGTGGTGGACGTTGTCTATACAGACTTCAGCAAGGCATTCGACAAGGTTCCTCATGAAAGGATGGTTAACAAGGTTAGATAGTATGGAATACAGGGAGAACTAGCCATTTGAATATAAATTGTCTCGAAGATAGGAGACAGAGAGTGGTGGTGGAGCGTTGCATTTCAGACTGGAAGCCTGTGACCAGCAGTCTGCCACGATTGGTGTTGGGTCCACTGTTTTGTCATTTGTCTAAAATGATTTGGACGTGAATATAGGGGGTACAGTTAGCAATTTTGCAGATGACACCACAATTGGTGGTGTAGTGGACAGGGAAGAAGGTTAGCTTAAAGTACAAC